TTCTTTTCTATTTCCTTGTTAAGCAAAGGAGCTAGAAAAAACCCAGGCATTCATGAATCTAATTTCAGGGATATAATTTAAAGATTCTGGCAGTAAAATGATTGACATGATACTGCTCTCTTGCTTCTACATAAAAAGCACAAGGGGTGACATAAAGAGCTAATTCAAGACATCCTCCCTTTTAGAAGAGGTACCACTGATACTGTCATAATGATGCCTTAGAGTGGTATCATTTGTGCTCTGCAGATTGACTGATTTTAACTATTTTGTGCATGTTGGTTTCATAAGGTGACTTCTGTTCACTCTTTATCATTATTCTGACTGCCTTTAAGAGGACCAACTTTTATACCTCACATAACTATTCTGTGAAGGTATATCTGAGTAAAAATACACCCAAATAACAAGAGCCTGACCTGTCGCAACTGCTGTTATTTTAACAATTCCTGTAATGTTTAACTCATTAAAATCTTCAAATACATGAATAATAAGTCTACATAATTAAAATGTGTCCAAGACATGCTGCATACAATTAAAATTATGTCACAATACATTTACAGTGTTCTATATGCTATGAATGTACCTTAAACAGAAATGTGTCTGGCAACATGTTTAAACACTATAGTTATTTTTCCACTAACAATTTTTGAAGATTGTGGGTTTTGAGTGAATATTGCATTTTCTTCAAGCACAGATATGGGTGACCTCAGTTTATATTTTGAAATCAGTATGTGTGATAGGACAAGAAAGTATATAAGGAAGTTGAAGTTAAATTAAAAGCAGGTATAAGCATGTATTTTTATTATGGAGAATAAGACAAGTAAGATAGTAAAATCTGACTTCTTGTCACATTGAATTTTCTTTCACTATTCTATTATAGGAAACAGTATTTTTATAATGTAAATTTTATAGAATCATCCCCAGACTAAAGTCTGTGGCAGCCTGCTGTATCCCCAAAGAATTACTTATACAATCCCACTGATTGAAACTCAAGCCACTCATTTAAAGTTCCAACTCTATGCAGAATTAAAAGTAAGGATCATTTTAGGCTCTAACAACATTTTTATGTATTTTAATCTGTATTTTATTTATTGGTAGTAGCTTAGTGAAATTGTCTGATGTCATCCTGTGGAATTTAATTAGTCTGTTTTATCATCTCGGCAGCACCTGAAAGGAAGCAGAGCCATCTTTTGCTGTTTTATTCACCTTAGGAAAGTTAGATCTCTATGTGGATAAAAGAACTCGGGTGTGTCATGTGCACAAGAAAGGCAATAATCAGTGAGCCCGGCTGTGAATTCGCAGCACACAAGGTTCTCCATGACAGCTGTGTGAGGCCACTGTCATCACAGGTAGTTTGGCGAGTCCCATCAGAGAGCAATTCAGCCCACTTATAATCTGAATTATCTTCTGACTACACAGGGAGTCCAGGTGAAGTGACTTAAGGTGATTTAGTTAAATGACTAAAATTACAGCTCTTCATAACTAAGTCTATCCTTACCTTCTGAGGCATGACCTAGGAGTTTGGTCCTCTGGTCATTTGTATAAAGCATCTGTGGAGAAACACCACTGTGACTGCCTGGGAGCCATCTGCTTTCCATGGAAATCAGAAGATGGTGATGGGCAGAAGGTAAACTCTGCATTCTTAAATCTTGCCATGAACTGGGAGGTGACTAGGATGGGCATGCCTAGGACTGCTGGGCTAAACATAGCAGTAGTACAGCAGTTCTGACTTACCTCAGTTTGGAAGATTGATTTTAAAAATTAATTCAGATTTGACTAGTTTTTTCTAATTCTGCAGTCAACTTGATCTTCCTGCCTGTATTTGTTTTGAAGTATAGTCACTGTGTATCTACAGTTAATTGTTGCCATAGAGACCTGCTATGGGTATCACTTTTGATCTTTCAATTATTCTGATTTGAAAAATGAAACAATAACAAATACTACCATACAAAGTCATTCCTTTTCCTGAGATAGAGGGCACATCTTCATGGAACTTCTAAAAGTGATTTAGGTTTTAAAGAGTCATTCAGCTAATATGAATAATGAAACAACAAAAAAAAAAGCACCAAACAAAGCACTTATCTCTAAAAAAATGTTGTTGCACCAGAGTTTTGATATTAATGTAAAGATATTGCAGTATTGAAGTATTTACATTCCAAAATCTGTGAAATTTGTCAGCAGCAATAACACAATTTTGTAATTTTCCAAGGGTGATATAGGATGCTGATTTTTTGTGGAAAACAGACCAGAAATAATCTTTTAGAACATCTGCGTGAATCACCTTGAAAGTACCAAAATGCATTTACTATAATGTGTTTTGAGTATAGGATACTAAAGCCTTTTAAAAATCAAAAGAAAAAAATTTGAATACAGCACCAGAAAATTAATCAGCCTAAATCTTGAAGAAACCCAATAATTACTGAACTCATGCACTGGGGAAAACCAAGAGGAAAATAAAATACATGTCTGCAAGGATAATTTTCTTTGAAGTAACAGTCTAAATATAAACCTACTCCTATAAACTAAAAGCAAGTGATTATATTTAGACTATACAAAAAATGAAGCAAAAGCAGCAATAATGTCAATTACTTTGTAGACATTATATAAAATACTAAAATATTTCACAGAAGAATGGAAATTCACCTTCAGTGTAGATATGGGGCCAAAAAACATCTTGAAAAGATACTTCCTTAGTACAGAAAAATAAATAGAAACTTATTCATTTTTATGAAGCCCTAAGCACAACCAGTTTCTGCTATTCACTGCCTCACAGTTCAGAAACTTTAGAGGGAATTTCATGCAGACTAGCAGGAAGAAATGCAGCACCTACCACCTGAAGCATTCCCAGTTTGCAGGTGAGGCCTGAGCAACCAGCAGATAAGTGAAATTTTGGAAAGTTGCAAGTAGTATAATCACAAAGTTATATAAATGAAATAAATTATATAATCAAGATTATCTTGATTGTTTCCTTCCTCCCCTGTTTTCCAAATTTGAAGCTCAGCTTTGTGTTGCTGAGTAAAAACTTGTGTCAGACTTGAAGAAACTGAGGAACTGCTGAATCAGCTGTTGCAGGCTAAAACCCCAGGGAAAGGCAGGATACAAAGGTGATTAAAGAATGCTATGTAAATATGAACTAGAAATTGAAAAAAAATGTTGTGCATTTCAAGCAGCAGGTGCTTAAACGTCAGCATCAAGTACCAGTTTAGATGCCTTAGAGGACCTGAAACATCTCCATGTGGGAGACCTGTGCTCCTCTGGCATGGTAGATTGAGCCAAGAGAAGATTCTCTGGGGCATCTAAAATGACATTTGTCACCCTGCATTCTTAAATCTTATCCTGACACAGAACTGGAAAATGCACATGGCTAGGACTGCAATAGTATAGTAATTCTGAGTTACATCAGTTTGGAAGCTTAATTTAACAAAACCATCAGACAAAAAGAGATCTGACATACTAAAAACTTCCAGATGTAATAAAATACTTGAGTTGCAGGAAAGGGAGTAAGCTTGGGCCTGCTGGAATTTGCATAGTCAAAAACATATCGAGGGGTGAGTAGTGAGGCTGCTTATGCTGGGCCAGTCTTTCATGTGCAGAAAGAGTTATACCAGACAGTAAGTCAAAGTGTAAGGAAACACTGGAGTCAAGTAAAATGTTTATTGGCTGATAAAATTCCAGCCTAGTAGTGCAGCAAAATATGGTTGCACTACAAACAGTGTTGCAAGAACAGACAGCTAATATTCCATGTGTGATTTTAACCTTTTAATGCCACATATTTTGAATAATTAACAGTAAAAATTAACATTCTCTTGCATTTCAGGCAATATTATATATTCTGCTAACTACTGAACTTGCAGGGCCTACTGTTCAAACACTAAAGCTTCAAGAAGATATCCAAATCCAATGCTTGGTGCCTAAATCTGTATTAGGACAATAAATATCCTTTTATTATTTATTATTATAAAAATCATTTTATGACCTTAGGTGTGAAAGTGAACAGTCAAACAGAGCTTTAGAATATTGTACAGACATTTAACAACTGGTTTGCTGAGATTCTGGAAGCACATTTGCTTGAAGTTACACATTTTTATTAACAAGTTCATAGCACTGTCAAAAGGAACATCAAGTATCTAGAATAATTTACCATTCTATTACCTCTATTTGTAAATCTAATTATTTTACAGAATCAGTGCTATGAAAAATTCAGCATTAGAGAAACTGAAAGAAAAACCCAAAAAGCACTGGATTTCCAAGGAAAGTGTCTTTCATTCACTTAAAGAGCACTTGTGAAGCAGGGCACGTTACTACAAACATATTACTACAAATCCCTTACTTTTCCTAATGAGATTTAATGTTATTAAATTAAACTGTTAATGTTATTAGCAGTTTATGAACTGTTCTTCTTTGACACATTCCAATATTTTTCTTTATAATCCTGAAAACAGCAAGGTCAACAAACAAATATTTAAGTACTTTTCAAACTAAGATATTATACTAGAATTCTATAAATTAGACACCAGTTTTGTTATTATCTACTCTATGCAGCAATCCAGCTATTGGTAAATAGGTATACAATAGAAATCAAATTCTCTTAACTGAAGGCTTCACTCTGTAAAACTGACTGTAACTTTTTTCCCCAGCACTTACAATGTAATTTGTTTATATGTTTTACAAAATGCCATCAAATATTCCAAGGAAGGGCTTGACATCACTGATTTCATCATCAAGAACATATCTAAAGAGTATTAAGGAAACAAACAAATTAGGTATAGCACATCAAAACCTATGAAAACAGGAACACTACATAAAGTATAGTCAAGAGATACCAAGACAAACAAAATAATTTTAAATAATTGCCTTTTCAAGAAAACATAGTTCTTACTATTACTATGAAAATTAAACTTTTTAAAAATTAATGTTATAAATTAACACAATGCTTAGAGGTCTATATTCCATGAAGAACTAAGCACTTGAATGCTGAGGCAACAGTAGAATCTTTTTATTACCTGGAATCTGCTTCTTTTTCCTGTTCTTTTGTGAAAATAAAAAAATCCTCTTTCCTAGTGAATTTAGAAGAGTCTGAGATTATTTTTGAGACAGGAGAACACTGTATGTTTTTCAGCTCTTGAGAAGCATTTGAGTGATTTTTTTCTTGAACACTGAACTGCAACATGAAAGTTAAAGTGTATATGGTTAAAACAACTACCGGAAAGAGAAACTGCCAGATTGTTGTAGAATGTAGTGCAGGTATTTAACTGATATTATGGTATTTGACAAGGACCAAGCATGTGATAAATATAATTATATACTGCATAGAAAATCTATCAAATTGAGTTCAAATACTTTGGAAATCATGCTATATAAAGTAAATGTGTGTCTTATTTCTTTGTACTAGGAATATCACACTGAACACAGGATGCATGCGGGTTTGGACAACACAGGTTCAGAAATTCAGGATGCCCAAACTGATTCATAAGTCAGATACATTTACATATTAAATACTCTAACAATAGAAAATTCTGTTATCAGTATGTTTTTACTCACCAAAGTTATATTTCTGCTCTGTACAGATAAATTCCCTTTTGATGTGCTATTGACCACAGAAACATCCGAGTTCTGAATATTGGTCTCATCATGTACTGTGTATGAACTGAAAATACCAAGTTGAATAATTTCAGTATTTTTACAGAAGTGCAAAATACAGAAGTGCTTTTCAGTTCAGGATTTTCTACTTGTTTCCCTGCTCACTTAAATAAAAAACAAATAATATAATTCAACAACTCATACATTTTAAATGTTGAAATTTCCCTCACTTTTATGAGTGACCAACTTTCTATACATTTAATTATACAGATACATGTGAAATACAGACAATATTTTAAACTAGTAAAATTCTAAAATAGTAATAAATTATATGACTCTTACTCTTGTGAAATGGTATTTGTGGCTTTGCTTCTTGTATACTGGCAAAGGGGTTCACACTCATCTGCAATTTGAAGGCAGATATTTCCATGTTCCATTTAAGAATGAAAGTTTAAAAAACAGAGTTAAAAATCAGCCAAAATGCCTTGTAAATATTTCACATTATATGATAAATAATAGTTTGAAAATTATTCAAATGTCTTAACACTTGAAATACTTCTTTTGCAGATTTTGGTCTAATGTAAAGATAAGCACAGATATGGAGTCAGATAAAATAACAATTATGCAGTTGCAGACAATCAAAAAATTTTTAATTGTGACTTTCTCAACTCTCCCTTCTGTATTAGATTTGACACAATATATGACATTTAAGATAGAGTAATAAACCTGGCAGTGAAGTCAATAAATCAAATATTTCAGGTAGTTCTATTCATTGTATACTATAATAATTTACTCTCAAGTAATAGGCTGTAGAATAATTTGTATGTAGGAAACAAAGAAGTTTGTTGAAATAACCTTACCTAATTCTCTACTGACAAAGCTACTAGCAAATACTAATTTATCATCATCAATATCATCCCAAATATCATCTCTCATTTCAAAGTCCAGGTCCAAAGCATCTGAAAAACAAGATCTGCTTTTATCTGCATCAGTAAACTTAAAATAACATTAAATATTTTTAGCATTTTTGTATGCCATTGTCTCTTGGCTCTTCTCACTCACAAAACACTTGGTATCATTTTCAAGCTGGCTGAGGGTGCACTTGATCCCACTGTCCACCTTGCCGACAAAAATGTTAAAATTATGCAGTATAGCTGCCAACACTTAAGGCAGCAGGAACTAAAAAAGTGTCAATTCATTTGAGCACTGTGTTTCTTGTATGTCTGAGTATGATCTAAACACTGGAGCTGCAACTTATCAGCCAAATTAATCAAAGTCTGATTTACATCAATCTACTGTCACCAAATACAAAAAGGCATGCAGTGAGGAGAACATCATAGTAATATACTGATAATGAAGACTGATCATTTAATACCAAATGCAAAAACACCTGAGACCTTCTAGGGGGAAGAGAAACAGAAAGAGGAATTTTGCCAACTGCCAAAAAAAAGCTCATGTTTCATTAACTTCTTTCATCAAAAAGAAAAAAAAAAAGTATAGATATAGGGGTAAAATGCATCTTGTATTACAACTGGCTTCAGAGGAAATATATACTTTCTGAAAGGTATTATTGTAATGTATAGGTTTGGACCTTTATATATTTAAGCATTTTCTTTTAAACATTTAAATGTTTAGATCTACATTAGAAATTCTTGCAGATACCAGAATGAAGGCCAATTAAGGCCAATATAATTCCCCATACAGTGTTCTACAATGCTATACTGGTTGCTGTAGTGATTTCAGCAAGTTTGAGTTCAGATAAAACAGTAAAAATTGTAATTTCAAACATTAGCAATAACTTACTAGTCTTTCCATAATTCCAGGGTTGCTTTTGTTTCTGAGATACTCCTAAGCTATTAACATTATCTGCCTGGTCCACTGAAGGTGATAAAGACAACTGTTTATTGCTAGACCTATTAAAAAAAGAAATAAAAAAATCAGTGACAAAACATTTGCAGAAAGGTGCAAAATAATTTTATTCACACAAAAAATTCTAATAGTTACAACTAAGAATACCGTCTAAAATAAGACAGATTTCCTTTTTATTACTTATATTAATCAATACCTTGGCAGTGCTGGCATCGAAGATTTGGGTGTAAAACCAAATTGTTTGAGATCCACATTTTGAGCTTGATTTAACATCTGCATCTAAAGAAAGCAGAATATTTTAACTTTTAAGATACAAACATATTGAGAACTGTTTTTTTAACAAGTTTAATGACATCATTAATACTGTATCAAGTGAGCATAATATTTAGATATCCTATATAAAACCTTTCTGGTGTCTGCTTATATAACGTAATCAGTTAAAAAGGTTTGAATTATGTGCTTCTGGTGGAGCCATCCAAGCACCCTGGCAAAGCCAAACTGGTTAACTCTCATCTGGATTAGCTGTAGGCTAAATAATCCTGTATTGCAAACAAACAAGTAAATAAAACTCTGAGGAGGAAATAAAACCCTCCAATATCTCAAATGTCATTCTTGCTGCAGAAAGACCTAGTTTAACACTACGTTCAAAGGGATGAAGTGCAAGCCATGAAATCTTTCACAGGGTAAAAACTAATATGGATGGGTTTCTTACGAAAGTGGATTTACCTGCCAGTCAAAGACCTCTTAGTAGCATGACTCGAATAAATAGCACTATTTGTTTCATTCAGGTCATATTGTGCCAAAACCAAGTCACTGTACAGTACCTTTTGACAATGTCTTTGAACCTCACTCACCACAATCTATCAAACATCATAAGAGGAAAAACAGAGTACATGCACAAAAGTGGACCCTTGGAAGTATTCCAAACAGCAGCAGAACCTCTTAGAGATTCCTGAACCTTTGTCGTTATTTGCTTTTTGCACTCCATGCAGAAAAGACAAATTTGAATGTTCATACTTAGTTATAAAATTCTCTCTGCAAACAATACATACAAATACATAACATATTAAAATAAATATATTAAATAGCTGACTGTATTCAAATGAACCTTTAGCCGCTTTTCTGGGGGTATAGATGAAATTGAGTCCCTGCTCCTTAAGTCAGCTAGGTACACAGAAAACTGTGTGTCACCATTCATCTGTGACTTTGGAGGTACTCCAGTTTTACCTGAGAAAATGAAATAAAATAATCTTCAGATTAGTTTATTACAGATAAATCTTAATTCTTTTCAAATCAATGGAAACTTCGCCACTAAGCTTAGTATCTTCTCTTAGAAGATTCTAAAAGATATAACACGCTAATTAAATGATTTAACACACCAATATTCATATAAAAGTGTAACAAGCTTGACATTGTTCTTAAATCATATGCTAGATGGTCTGAAAAATATTCTTAATCACTGTAGTGCCCATAAAAGTGTTACTGACAAGGCTTTCTATAACTGCTTTTGTGGCTGCATCATAGCAACAACTCCAGTCTGATTCTCTTGCTTGTGCTGCTTCAGTTGATGTAGCCATTGGTATGAAGGAAGATATTCTAAATCATATTTGTCCCCAAAGTATCAGAAATGGTAGATTTAATGACACTCACAGCAGTCATGCCCACACACATCTTTATTTTTACACCGATGGTTGCATTCTCTGTTTCCATATTTCTTGTAAGCAATCTCTTGTTTAGATCTGCCTCCTAGACAAATACAGAAATTCAAACAGTAATATTAGATATCAAATACCCATGATTTTTCTTACTTTCAAAATCATCAAAGAATTGCACTGTAGTAGTACGTGACAAGCAGAAGCAGCAGCATTGTACTTTTATTACCTTTGAAAAAGAAACAGCATGGATAAATAAGGATCTTTATTTTGACAGCAAAATTCAATTTTCTGTTGACTTTGGAATTAGCCAGATATTGTGATCTGACCATTTACCTGTATCTACTTTTGCTGCTGGCAGACTTTGTGGTGAGCCACAACATACATCAAGTCTAGACTCAGCTTTCAGTTTTCGATTTGTAGCCACCTTACGTCCCTCTGTTTTCGGTGCTAAGTAAAAGGCTGTATATGTTTGCTGTATATCAAAGCCAACTTTGAACAGAAAAAGACAAAAATATTTAAAACTACACTAAACTGTTTCTAAACTACTGATTACCTTCAGTTTTCTAAAGTGTTTAAGAAAACAATGTTATTCAAAGGTCATGGAAATTTGTTAAGATAATGTCCCATTAAAAGCACACTTTTATATGAACAGATGCTTTATGATTGAGATTAAGAATGCTAAATATTTTCAGAATGTTATAGAAGAACAAAAAATTAGTCCCTTTTACTGAATGTTTTGTATTATTTTAAAACTACATTTATCTGTGGCTTTGCAATGAGAATATCATTTTAATTTTTAAAATGTACTACATTTTTAAAATGTACTAATTTTTAAAATGTTCTCAGTAACAGCAGCAGCTCTGTATTGGCAAAGGCATAAAATGAGTATAGTTGACAGTACTTCTGAAATTGAATGCTAACAATGGTTCTGTTTCTAATTAAACCAGGATTCATATGAGACTGAGAGACACCCTTTGTAAAGAGATTATTTTTGTCTTTTATTAGGGAAATAAAATTTCCTGGAAATATTGCTGGAAAACTCTATAGGCTTTTAAAAAAATGTGAGGTGTCCTTCAAGCCTGAAACAGAAGCAGACTTCAAAATAACTAGAGACTAGAAAGATCTGGTTTTAGTCTAATTTCACTGTCAGCAGTTTCAGAGAAATTAACTGTTGTGTTTAGTTTTACTGAACTCAGTACAATGTGTAGATAGCCAAGTAGCAATAAAAGGACAAATTTTCTTCATTTCTGTTTGGTTAGCAAACTTTTTTTTTTTCCAGAGCCACAGGTTTAGCCACAGAAATATAGATTATTTCAGGCTTATTATTGTAATAATCTCAATATTCAATGTTTAACATGGAAGCATCAACTCCAGTTAATCTAGCACACAGCAATCTTCTTTACAGGTGGGGTATGATGACAGAATTTAATACAATTTTTAAATTGTATTTTAAAGTTCTGTGTTTCAAGGTCATAACAGTCTCTCCTCATCTGCTGCTATAATTCCAATTATATGAAAATTGACACTGAGGAAACACTGTTTAAATCTGCACATGTTAAGGCACAAGATTTTGAACTGTAGAAGTTTCTTGCTACTGAAGTGGAGATGAGTCCATATCTAATACCTCTTTACCACTATGCAAAACGTAACCATTCACAAAGACATAAATAAACTTATCAGTTTGACAGGTTATCCAAAGTGAAAGTTAACTCACTTGAAGGCAAAGGACAAAAGAAATCCTAATCTCTACCAACGGAGCAAAATAATGTCTCCTAGTAACAATTTTGATGTTTCCCATTTCCTTAGTATGGTAGTAAATGAAATAAACAGGTAAGTAATTAGGACTGGCAGTATGCAACCCAGTAAAACATGTGATAGAGTTTTGTTTCCAGACCAGCTCATTTTATGATATTTTTGGCTTGATATAAACTGGTTTAATAATTTATTCAGAATTCTTATGCAGTTGTTTTTTTAATTCAAAGCATACCGCAACCTACCATAATCAGAACTAATTAAATTTATACTAATGTCTTCTGATTTAAAAGCTCTTTTCACTTCAATTTTCTTTGTCCAATTTCCATTTTTCAGTAGCACAGAATCCCTGTAAGGCATCAGTAAAGTTTTGTTAGACACAGACAATGAAAGCAAGACTGTAAACTACAGTATCTGTAACAGGTGAAAGAGCCTGTATTTGGCCTTAGTTCTTTGGGTTTGCTTGATAAGTGGCCTAAGAATAACCTTCCAATAATATATGATTTATGGCAATAAGAGAGCTGGGATCCTGCAGATCAGCTTAAGTTGTGCCAAAAGTGCCAGACTTCGGTCACAATTCTCATGAAGGTCAGGCAGTTGGAAAAGATTTTGTTTCTCTTTCCCCATTTGCTCCAAGCATCTCTTAGCCAACTGGAGAATTTAATTCCATCTTTGAGGGAAAAACAATTAAAAAATATAATTAAAGAAATATTGCTAACAGCAGTAAGTAAGAACTGATGACTATATCTTTTTAATAGGTATTTTGCTTGTTTTATATTTATGGGAAAATTATTATGACTTCCATAACATGACATCAATGTTGTACAGATATTTACACATACTCTCTGCACTGACAAGCACACTGACATGTTTTTGGGGTCTCTGAATCTTATGCAGCATTTTAAATAACAACAATGACTAGGAAATGCTGTAGAATAAACAGTAATTTTGCACTATTAGGCATCAGTAGGAAGTATTGCAAAAACTGCAAGTCACAGAACAGATCAAAAGCCAACACCCTAAAAAGATGTGAGGCAAAAAACCCTAATCATACATACATAATTTTCTGATTAAAAATGACTTGGTTGTCAGCATCTCCTATGACCAGTGTAACATAGTGAAAGTCTGTCGCTGTTCTCTTTGTCTGTAGCTGCTCATAGTTTGTTAATTTGACGGTTACTAAGATTTCAGCCAATGTATCGCTGTATTTTGGAAGCTAGGGAAAATGATACAGAACACATAACTGCTAAAATATGCAAAGTAAAATACATACCCTCCCATAAATTTCTAGCTGTTGACACATGTACAAAAGCTCAATTCAAGCAATTTGAATTTGTGGTACAATTTTTATTTGTTGTTCTGAGACACTATTATACAGTTCTAACTTGCCCATAGCTGAATATCCTAAATTTGATTGAGAATAAAAGACAAATGCAAAGAGAAATATGCAAGAACTCGTTATATATAAGTTATATTTTGGCATCCTAACATTCCTCAATAAGATATTTATAATTGTTAAATCTTTGTTCTGAGAATCAAACTATTCATCTAGTATTATGGCAAATGAAAAACTTAACTAGAACTGATTGTTATAACAATAGTATTTCATACATCTATTGAGTTTTTAACTTCAAACATGTCTTAATTTGTATCAACTTTAAGGTTGTTTTTCAAATGTTGCATTTCAGAAAGGCAGAGTGGCTATGTGACCCATTTAAAGATAAAATGCATATCAGAACCTCGAAGCTCCTGATTACATGTGGAATTGTATCCTTCCTTTGAAAGGGCACCAACTAGGTAAATGTAATAATTTACTGTTTCTCTATATTCCTAACTGTGATGTAGAAAATAAATACGAGTTAATGCCTCTTCGGTAAGTTTTATTTGGATGTTTTTCTGTCTCTAGGGTTTGTTTATATTCAAGATAGAAGAGACCTCTCAGGCTGACATATAAAGCTAAAATGTGGATATACTGGTTTGCATCTGTAACATAAAATTTTATTAATGAGAGAGAGAGAGGGGCCAATATATTACAGGGAATGTCTATTCCAAGGCTCTCATTCAACGTTTGTTTCATTACACATACTAAGTTGGAAGGAGGTCACAATATTGTGTAATCTTCTATCAGCGAAGACTCAAAATTTCTTTAAGTCAGTATTTGCTCTTTCATTTAATAATACCAGCATAAAAAACATACAATAGATAGAAAAGCATTTACCTGTTCAATATCAAGTTCATATTTTGGAAGGTGCAAAACAGACTCTTTTATCTGGTTTCCAAAAGGAGGATGTCTGTTTAAAATCTGCAAAGATTGAATTTAATTTCTGATACATTCAGCTGATTAGAGATGCCAAGAGAAATGTAAACCTAAGGAATCCAAGTCACCTGAGTAATTATGCTAGCAACAAAAGCCCTTATCACTCCTGGTTCTCTACTGTCAGGGATGCACAGAATAGCAATATTACCAAAAGAAAATTCCAGTACTTTTTCATGTTGCTACTGCTTCTGTTCAGGTAACAGCCAATGAACTAGACAATGACCTCAAACCCCAACTACTCAAGTTTTATATGAGATGACTCTTCTATGTTGCCCTAGCTTCAACTAAAACAAAAAAAAAAATGACAGGAAAAACCACAAAAGGGGCAGAAACAAGAAATCAAATTCCTGAAGTCAAAATAAAAAAAACAAGTAAGATTGGTTTCCCTCAGAAATCTGTTATATCTTCCAAAACACTGGAATAAGTTTCCTCAGAAAAGAAGCCAAGAACCAAAGAACTTGCCCTGGGGTAAAATCTAACTTCCCTAAAATAGAAAGTGCTTTATAGATGATTCAGAAGAGTTTTACTCTATCACCATCTCAAACTAGCAATAATGGAAATTGGGGATTCTCATAACTAAGATACATTAAGAGAAACTGTATGTATTTCCTTTTATATTTTTTCTAACACTCCCCAAAGGGAAATGCATATTGTCCTTTCTTTCAAATTATGTTCATGATGAAATTCTACATATTTAAGCAACTGCTTTCCAAACTCAGCCAAATCAGTGAAATCATTCACATTAAATTTACTACAACAAAACATCATACACATTTTCAAGGACAAACAGTAGTAGTTACAGACTTTTTAAAAATTCACTAGTAAAAACAAATAACCAACTAAACCCCTAAATTTTGCTATGATCATACAGCAGATATATATTAACCATACTGTTTTTACTGGTAACAGTATTAATACTCGATCTTTTCCTTATCATATTTATCTGTGTACAAAATAATAAATTACCAATTCAAGTTCCCTTGCGTTTATGTCTTCAATTTTTTTAAATGACGTCAGCCCAGCATTTACCATAGCATTTGACAGTGACACACCTGTGAAAAATTTAAGTTTTATGCTGTTAAAGGACAATCAATAACCTCAAATTATTCTGAAAAACTGCACTATAGCAGGTATAATCAAAGCATAAATAATTTTATATTACATTTGACCCAGCTTTCTGCCCAGCAAATCACTACATTTCTTTGCAGCTGATTAAATATTTTAGTATTATTTAATTTCTCCACTTGTAAAGAGAAAAAGAAATGCAATACAAATCAAACATGAAAATATTCAGTATTTCAATAGTGACAGTTTTTAGTTACGTTTTCCTTGGTAAACCAGATTTTAGATCACTTTCTACAAGAATCAAGAAATGTGTTCTGCATATTATATGATGAAAAAAAGCACGTTACACCCTATTCTTTGTGTCAAAATTTTTTTCCCTATCCAAAGAATTATTTAACTATGTTAAAATCATAAGGATCAAAACATTTCTGAGCAAAATAATAACAAAAGTCACTGAAAAAATGCATTTATTAGAATCTTCTAGGAGTCTTTGCAGAATATGCTGCAAGAGATATGACAGCATAAGAAAAATGTACAAAAAAAAGGAAAATCGGACAGATATGTGTAGATATAGCACTTACATTATTAAAAAACTAAACATGACTTTATTCTACTGAATATAGTGTACAGGAAGGATTTGTCTACACTGCAAGTGCCATATTTACTCCTAACTCCCTAGAAATGCTGAACACGAGGCAGACCCCTCAGATGACTGTGTTGCCATTGGCACGGGTGTGGAGTAGTGGAAATGTGTTCCTGGCACACCATACCATGCAGTGCACAAGCTAACAAGCCTTGTCCCCTGCTTTGAATCCACGTGAATGAAGCACTACAGCTTCTGCACTTGAGCTGGCAAGGTTGTAACGTACTGGACCATATGGATTTTCTGGATTAGCCATTCTCAAATTTGCAGATCTCTGTACTGTGCTGTTCGGTACAGAGCATGTGTGTCTTTAAAGAAGAAATACAGAGAAGGCTGCAGTGAATTCTGAAAGCATGAAGGTATGATAAGACCAGACTTCAAAGCAGGAAGCTATACGACTACCTCAAACAAGTATGACTACATTTTTGTAACGCAGAGGACTCAAAAATTTCTGAACTCCTTTTCAAATAATTATGACAAGCCGGTACTTCCAGCTGGAATTTCATCCAATAACAGGATACAGTGAGAGGAAGAAGATCATTAGAAACTTTTGATCATCATGTGTGTAAGAACCTCATGCACAATAAATTTATTTCTATTTCAGGATTCCTATCCATGTCAATGAATAGGAATGAATCCATGTCAATGTGAATTAAAGGGCTTTCATGCATATAAGTAAGAGGAACTACAGTGACAGCTGTTTGGAAAGGAAGGCATAGCCTAGTCAGAGACATGCAATCACACGGATGTGGAATATGCCTAAGACACTGAGATGAACATTAAGAAATATGAACAATTCTGAAATACTTTGAAACCCTGAAGGAAATTACTAAACAGTTCATTTTTGTTATGACAGATTATTCTGACAACTGTGGTACTCGACTGTGGCAAATGAGTAATTACGAGACTAATTTTATTATGTAAGGAGACACCACAGAAACCAACAGGCTAATTAGGAGGTTTGATTCTCTATCAGATTACACTTTTATAATTTCTGTCTAGTACCTACCAATTTTTTCCAATTGTTTAGACACGTGAAGTGAATTTTCCCAAAGTCTGCACCTGAAACACTTTGCTAAAATCAAAGAGTTTAATAAAGCAGAAAAGTTGTTCTTAGATGATGCCAGAAAGTCAGATAACCCTGTAAAAATAAGATTGACTTATATTAATCAAATAAAATGTAGATTATTTGTATTTGAACCAAAAAAAGGATTAAATTTTACCATACATCTAGTAACTCTTAAGCCATTTCTAAATATTCTGCCAGTATCTTGTGTCAAAGTAAAGTCTTGAACTGGAATACATCCCAGCTGAGCCTGAATGAGACTGGAAAAAGAATTTTTTTTACATAGAAGCCATATTGTAAACAAAGTACAATAACATTTAAAAAAAAAAGGAAACACAAAATAGAAAAAATTAAATGCAAGATCTGGACCTCTGTAAAATGACAGATTTTAGCAGGGACTTCAACAGCCATAAAATGACAGTTTTTCAATAAAAAATAACAGCACAATATAATAATTACCAGTTTATTTTCATTTCTCTTGTTTTTATCTTCCCCTCCATTGGAAACCTATGCATGAAAACATACATATTTTCTACAATTCATTTGATTTATTGCTAAAAACGTACTTTCATTCTTCAATGATTTTTTTTTGTACCTGATAGTTATTTTGTCCTTGTCTTTATTCAAAGTGTTCAGTATTTTCTTTTCATTTGTTCTTAACTTGACATCCAGAAATTCTGTGCAGTTGGAGATCATTGTAATCTGTAGCAATTAGAGTTTTTATTAATTGTTTTTATGTGCCATTTTTTCTATCACTTCTTCCAACTTCTGTTTTTTAAAAGAACACTTTAAAAATTTTATTGTCTCAACACTAGGAACATGAAAAGTTCTTTCTAATACTGACCAACTTTCATTCATTTCCCTATAAGGCTATTACATAACAAAAAGGGAAAATTTTCTTTCAGCTTTTAGATTACTATTTCACCTGAAGTTATCTAAAATTAACCACACTGCTAACACTTTATCATATACAAGGCAAAAAAACCCAGCTTTTCCCATCTGTTATGTATTTCATTTTACTTTCTTCATACTTTAAGAACAAAAGATAGCCACAAGAAAAGAATCATTCCATTTTTTCATGGCAAATCTGTTCTACAATAGTATTTACTTGAAAACAAAATGTCTTTTGTGACTTAACAGTAGCAAAAACAACCTGTTATCCGACAGAGGAAAGCTGCTTAAAATAGAAAGACAATTCCTTTAAAACTAAAATCTGCTCTTGATGCAGTTGGTTTTTGCAACAAAAATACTACTAAACCACAAAACAGTACAATGTTTAATACATAAACAGAACAGCTTCAGCAGCTTTCTCTCTCATCTTCATAAGCAAGTTTAGCGAAGGGAGAAAGAGTTGGAAATCAAAAGATCTCAACGTACAAGGCCTCAAAAATACCCCATACAGAATTTAATCAGATGCATCTCTAAAACTTTACATTAACAAAGACTGAGCTCTTTAAAATAAAACCTTCTGCTTCTTATCTTAGATTCTGTTTATAATCAATTGAACATATGTAAATTTCCTTTAAAAAGTTAAATTACCAATTCATTTAAAGTCTCAGTTCCCTTAATTGTGAAAAATTGCTTCACTGTATCAAATGCAATATAATACCACGCCATTAATCTTCCAGTTTCTGTAAAAGAAGAATACACCTTAGAAAATAAATATGCCAAGTTTATTTTAGTGAGTTCGAGGTTTTTTAAGTCACAAAACTAAATTAATTTTCTTATTACAGGCCTCTGTGAGGTTCACCACCAACTCAGTTTGTTATTGCCCCCAGTGTCTCAGGGGCATTACTGACCCAACCACGGAGTGGCAGAAAGAACCATGTGCCAGTTAGTTTTCTCCAGTGGAGATTAATTAACACTAACATGCCAGGCAGTGAACTGTGGTTGCTGAGAAGCCAACCACCTCTAGCAGAGGACTGCAGACATGAGCAGATATTGATAAAACCTGTCCTTCACTGCACTGTGACACATCCAATCATCCTGTCAAAATGTTCTGCAATTTTCTCCTAATCTGCAAAAAATTTTCACCAACAACTAGAAAAAAATCGTTCTCTTAATATTGATCCATGGATAGAACTTCCAGGACTTATTAAAGAAACCTGTTCATATATTCTAGTCAAACAATCTCTCAGATTCTGCTCTCTACTACATTTGTGTACTCCAATTAATGGGTCACAAGAAACGTTGTGACCCTTTGTAGTTCACTACTATCTCAACATCATTTCTGAAAAGTAGTTATTTAAAAGAAGTGTTACCTGTTGGTTTGAAATTATTTGCTTCATCCATCCTGATCAAATCAAAAGATGATAAATCATTTAAGTTCTTCAGACACAGTTCTGTCAAAAATTTGAAAACATCTGTATTTTTAGTACATGCAGAAAAACTACGTACAAATCAGAAACATCATCAAATTGCTATGAATGTATACCCAAGTAATTCCACTGAACTCAAGAAAAGATTTTAGAATACGATTCTGCTTCTATTAAAGTTGGTGGTTAACTTCTGCCTGGGGAAACTCACGGGACAACCCAACTCTTTTTCAGCAAAGCAAAAGTAGCAAAGGAAAAGAAATGATGCTGGAATGTAGGCTGCCATATTCAATTTTGAATGACAGACCGGAAAGCCCACAGCATTTATACAAAAGATTTCTGCTGGAGAGTTAACACTTAAACAGTTCAAATTTCAAATATCCACAAGTATTTATTAATCTTTCATCAGATATTTTCATACTGTATCAGGTGCATTTGTACTTAGTTCACTGAACCTACTGAGTCAGGTATCTGCATAAGGATGACCAAAGTGTTTTAGTTTTCTCTTTTCAAGACCAAGGCAATGTTCAGAATTTAAAAGTCAGTTGGAAAAGTACTCAAAGTGATAGTTCCTATAGCAACCAGAAATCATTCACATTACACATGAAATGTATGAAAACAAGTAACTATATACATTACTACAAAATACTTCATGTGTGCAGGGAAGAGGAGCTAGTTTCTGTAAGAACTTTAAAAAGAGGTTGTTTTTAAGATCAAAACACACTTCAAGAAAATACAATCCACACTGAAAAAGCATTTTAAAGTGAATTCTTCTACCCTAACCCTAACTGTAGAGGTGGTTTCGTACCATGCCTTCTCCCATGAAGGCTTATTTAGGTAGTAACATGCTTCATTACCTCTATTCCTTTCAACCTACATGCCAAAAATAGAAAAGTCCTGATCTAAAAAACAGGAAAAAAGATAGAAAACTACTGAACAAGCATATGAACAAGGTAACTTTTTCTACTGATAAGTGCTTCTGTTTTAGCTCTCTGCAAGTCACAGTCAATGTCTCTCCTATTTGGAGACTTCAAGCAGTAGCACTTACACTGTGTTCCTGAGGATGGGCCTTTGGAATCCCTAAACAATAAAAAGCCTTGGCATCCTTCCACCAAGCCCAACATCAATCACAAATTTTTCCTACACAGTTGTGTAAAATGTAATAAATATGGAAGTGGAGTCCAAGTACAAGCTCTACAAATTTCTGGTTGTGTATCTGCCTGTGGTGGTTTGGGCTAGGCCTTCCTTGGTGACCAGTTTGTAACCAAGGAAGGGTCCAGATTTACCCAGTATTCCCTACAATTTTTACGTAAGCCAGATTATAAGAAGAAAGGAAAGGCCTTCGCTCTCTCTTTCCTTCTGGCGGCTTGGAGGTGCAGGTTCCCTGCTGTTGAGTCTGCTGTGTTGGGGAGCGAGGCCTGGCTAGGCCTTGCCAACCTTGGGAGACAGAGGTTGCTGGCGATCGTTCTGGAGCGACTCTCGGTTGTCCCAGGAGAGTAGTGAGTTATTTCTTTGCTGACTCTTTTAGTTGTTAGATATTGGGTCACTAATCGAGATACATATATATATATTTTATTTTGGTTTTGTTCCTTTTCCCTTCCTCCTTCCCTTTCCCTTGTGAAATTGTATATTTTTTAATTGTATATAATTGTAATATAGGTGTAAATACATTTATATATCTCACTTTAGCTGTCTCTCTCTCGTTTCGGGTTTTCTTAGTTTTTTTTCTCCCTCTTTCTCCCTGAGGTTTGGGGGTGGGAGGGGGGACTTCTGGTGGTAAGGTTTGGAGACTTGGCAGGGAGCCAGCTTCAAACCATATCACTGTCCATGTTTTCATGTACCAGACCCTCTTCCAGATACTTAAGTTCCAAATGGTCCAGTATACAAATGTACAGAACTATGATGGACACAAGGACTTTCACCAATGATAGAAAACTGTACTTGTAGATTTGCAGAACTTGACAGCAAGTAGTCTTTTATTAATATACTCAGTTTTGATCTACCAGAAAACTTCATTAAAATAAATTAAAACCAAACCAAAACCAAACCACTCAAAGAGAGTTGTATGCTATTTCTATATTTAAAGATGAGAGGCACTGATTCCCAAACTATTTAATCAGCTGTATGTTTTCTAATGGAATTGTAAATAGCTGAAATGCAGTATTAAGAAAAAGTCAATAACTGGATTTTATTCAAGTCTTAGCAAAAAAAGCCTTTTAAAATCATGCAATTTTAAACTGTGTCTGAACAAGGCAAAGATGTTTATGTTTTACGTGCTTTGTTTTCAAAGCTAAATTTATGATGAAGGCAAGACGACAATTTCTAAAAAGGACTTTCTTCAAAGTATGGCAATAGAAATTAATGAAAGTAAATGAGATCAATCAAAGGAAATTTAGGAAGAATGACAAGCAATCAAAATTAAAGTGCTCTGCTCCATATTTCTGAGCACGTATATGAAGACGAGATAGGTAAAAGCATTTAAGTATTTTCCCATATACAAGAAAAACAAAATGCACTTATAGTCTTTCAAAAGTATTAATAATTTAATAAAATAAATAACAAAACATAGTAAATTACATTGGTTTTGCAAATGGATCGACTGAAATTAATGGAGATATATATATATAATGAGAGAATCTGCTCTAAAACATAACATTTTACTGAAAAAAAGCTGAAAATTTCACACTTACCTTGTAATTTTGCTTCAATTCCAATTTTATCCAACCCAGGTGAAAAACCTTCATGGAAAAGACAAAAGGTGTTTTAACCTGATGCAATTATACACTTCCTCCTCAATATCATCAGCCATCAAAACTGATTTGCTGATTTTTGGGAGCCAGATAAATACCCCAAAATAAAAAAGGTGTAGTTATTGCACTGCTAACAAGTCAGAAGCCTTAGAGAGTAGAACTATCTAAGTAGCAGTAAATAGCTTTTGGAACAGATGTGCAAAGGTAAAAGCTGCAGATATTCCCCGATGTAAAATATCAGAGTCCTAGAAGTTGCAGAAATGTCAGTAGCAACTTCCCAGGTACAGTTTTCCCATTTAAGAACATAGAAAGCCACCTAAACTGTAACATCCATTCAAGTAGTAGATGTACTATGTTCCAGCCCCAGCTATAAATCCTTATAAAAAATTGTCTCCAGCAAGTGTCCAATGACTTCAAAATCAGCTGTAGAGCAAGTGGGCAGGAACAAAGATATGGTCAGGCATGGGGACCAAGATGATGTTCTGGACAAGACAAACTGAAGAAACTGGAATTAATACTACTGAAATTTCATTCTAGAAAAATTATGAAATATTAGACTTTCTTTTTTTCTTAGCAGTAGATAACATATTCAGCACTGAAAAATACATTATGGCTTGATACAGCATAAATATATGGCCCAGTGCATTAAGAGCAAAAGAAATACACTATGAAGCTGTAAATGGCTCCTTCATGGTTTTTAAATGTTATACCATGATAAAACTCCCACTACTTATGTCAAAGCAACAAAATATTACAGGCCATATTGTACATCTTGTTTTCATCTTGTTATGAAATAACAGTCCATAAGAAAATGACAGAAACAAATAATATGGACCTAACACATCCTAGCATGATAATTTAGATAAATTTAAAAAAATAAAAACAAACCATAATGAGTTGGATTTTTTAAGGCTCTAATGTACAAGAAGGTTGATCGTATCCACTCCAAAGCTACAGTGACATCTGTGACAGTGTGTAGCACTATTTCTGCATTTAAGTGCTCAACAAGATGCCTGTGCAAGCTAATGCAAAAAAACAGGAGTTAAGTAACCATTAGCAATACAAAATTAGCCATTAGCAATACAAAAAGTGCTAAAACTATTTTTGGGGAAGAAACAAAAGCAAACAAACCCCTCCTCCAAAACTACATCAACTGATCACTGTAATCAGCGAAATCAATAGAAAACAGTAAAGGTAATGTAAATAATCAACAATGTAATTTGTTTATTATGGCATAATGTCCAGCAAGGAAAAATAAACTGTCAACTGTGAAGTTTCACATTTATTTAGAAAACAAAGCTACAAACATTTAAAAGTTACAGCATAATAGTGATATTCTGTATATATTTGAAAATTAAATGTTAACAAAATTACTCGCAAAAAATTTCCTATTTTACTCTTTAATGTCTTAACTTTCCTTTCTCTTGATAATGTGTTAAAATCAAGTGAATTCTTGTAGGTCAAGTACTTCCCAGACTCTATTATCTAAAAATTCAGAGACATGATCTGGGTTCAATTCTTGCTTTTTGTCTTTGCAATATGAACTATTTCAGTTTCTTCAGTTTTCCAGCAGGAATTTACACAACTATTTTTTTGTGGTTGAGTTTAAAGATGGTTCTGGCTGACAAAACAGAGGCTGTTAACTCCTGAATAGCTTAATTTGATTTTCCTTAAATTTTTCTTGATTTCTTCTAAATTGACCAAATAAACACCCTAAAACCCACCTGAAAAAACACATTCTGTGGAAACTATGAAACTTTGCTACCATCTATAAAGTCTTATAAAAATTACTTAGTTACCTGCTCTCTATTATATCAGCACCATTTAACATCTGAATATACCTCTGCCTTGTGCTCACACGAGTCATAATAACTGCTGTAGCTGTAGTGTCAAACTGAAAAATAAAACCACAAATAAAAGCTGCTCTATGGTTCTTAGAAAAAAAAAAATCCATTTGAATATGTATCACGTATCTGTTGAATCCATTAAAACTGTTTTCTTCAAATCCTGGTTGAAATAGCTATTGTTTGCCAGCATCCCACTATTTCTCTAATCCCCACTGACCATGTAACTGAAATGTAATCTTTAGATCTTTTTCCACTTTTTGGTGGACCATACAAAAGCAAACAGATTTCTTTCTCAATTAAGAAGTTACCCAGGAGTAATTTAAGTATCAATAACAACCCTTTAAAACCCAAATGCTGCAGTAAAATTATTGGCATTGTTGTTTCTTTGTTGAGAATAGTTTCTACTAATCCATGGACAGCACCAATGTATAGAGCATTAACTTACCTGAGGCCTTCCAGCTCTCCCAATCATTTGCAGAATATCAGTTTCGCTGTACTCTTGAAACACTCCTCCAACATAGTGCATTGTGGATTTTATAACCACCAGGTGTGCAGGTAGATTGACTCCCATAGCTAAGGTGCTGGTAGTAACTACATCAGAGCAAAGTATATGAACACCATCGAAATGTCCTGGCAGACACTCAACAAGCAGCAAATAAGTGACTTAAGTCTTGATGCCTAAGAGCTGTTAGTTTCTAGTGGAATCAGTGGGCATTCTGCACCACAAAGGATTTTAGGTAGATTACAGACAAGTACTTACATAACAATTTCTGTGTACCTGATCATCAGCATCATTTATTATCGAGTTCTTTAACAATTTAAATCCTAGATACTTTTATTTAAACATTCCTTTACATTTGGAGACAATCCATAACCCAATCCACCCTCAATATTACAGACACACAATGAAGAAACATTATTTCTTATTTCTTCATGTATAGATATTTGAATACAGCCATTACTTCATCTTGGTTAGTAGTGGTCAGTATCTCTAAGATGTATTTTAAGTCATCAGTCATTAGCATTGTTTATCCATAGTACCGAACCAAAATCACCACCAACACTATCACAGCACTTTACCAGCACACGTTCTCACATGGAAAACACCAGTCAAGTGTGTGGCAAACTATCCCACACTCATGTTTGTGATTCACTTTCTCTAAAGAATATATGGGATGGTGAGAATTTAACATAGAAAGCCAACTGATATTACTAGTCTGCTAGGACAACAAAGTATTAATGAAATTTCCAATTCTTTTTGAAATGAAAATTAAAATTATTACTTACGACTTTTTCATATTTTGATAGTATGCAAAATGGGAAATCTGTCAAAACAAAAGAACCTAACCATAAAAAAAGCCACAAAGAAAGATTACTTACCAGTGCAATCAGAGCTTCAGTCCATGTGTGTGTGTATATATAGATATACACGTATACACACACACACTGTGAGTATAGGGATATTCTACTTCAAAACCAAAAGATTTCTTTCCCTTTGCAGTAGCTGTGAAAGGTGTGTTAAAACCCTACCTCCCATCATGCTCACAGAGCTATGAAGTGGAATATGCTCCATACTCTTTCAGTTTCCCCTGTTATAGAAATGTAATTCTAGTATCTCAGATGATTCTGAAATATTCATCCAAACTACAAATTTCAAAGGACTTAAGAACCAATGAGCAACTTTGCCATGTGATAGTCCACATGTGTGTTCACATTGTGCTCAGCTGTGGCACAGGGTCTCAAAGCCATTTTTGCAAAGAGCAATCATAGAATTAGTCTCCTGAGATTTCAGAAATGGCACCACAGCTGACACAGCCACACACAGTGCACCAGGCAGCCAAAGCACAATAGATTGCAGGGATGCAGGGGCCTTTTATTACCATGGACATTGCAACGCTAGAAAGGTTTCCAGATCACAGTAAGGGTATCTACCTTACATTTTCATAGCAAGTCATGACCATTGTAGCAGGAAAGAAAAAAATCCATGAATCTTTCAGTGTTGTACGTGAACTACACAGACAACTCTCCATAGGCTCTGGATCTTTTGTTTACAGAAAAAGAAAGCCCGGATGAAATGCGACAATTATGTCTCAGATACCTTCTCATTTCATGTAACAACAGTTGGAGTAGTTCTTAAGAATCTTTTTATCAGTCACAACACCTTGCATGGGAGTTTGAAAATAGTATCCTGCCCATCTAAGAAGCATAAATATACAAGATTACCTTCTGGGAGGCCACTGCTTCACAAGACCCAAAGAAAACATCATGTGAACTCAGAGGAAAGACATACAAGCACAGAGCTCCACCTCAACGGGATGACTCAATGGTAGGAAAAAGAAATGGGCATGGCCAGACCTATACGGACATATGAGGGAGGATAACCTCCACGCACAGTGAAAAGAAGTTCTATGGTCTTTAGTAACAGTGCATATATAATCTCAGAGGGTAAAGGTGCACGTGAAACACTTTACCCGGATTTCACAAATTCCAGAAGTTTAACAAACTATAAAATCATAAAATATTACCACTTCGAAACTGCAGTCTTCTTAGGATACATAAACGACATTTTGACTTTCAAAGTTAAATTTACTTACAAAGTACTGGCAAGTCTCCCGCAGTAAAAGCCCCTTCAATTACTTTTCTGTCAGAGATCTCCATACCCGCATGATGATAAGCCACACCACACATTAAAAGATCTGACAATGAAATCATTACATGCATCATTTAACCAAGTTTATTCAAGCAAGTATTCATTCACAGAGCAGAGAAGTAGTAGGTTATATTTACCTCTCAGTTTGGAGTCTTTCAATGAATTTGCAAACCTCTGTAATCTATGCAACACAAATAAAAAATAATATTAAAAGCTATATATTCTTTGGGTATTTTCAACCACCAACTTTCCCATCTTCACAGAGGGAACAGACTGACTCTCTGGGGCAGCTATTGTAGCCTTTCCATCCTAGTCATCTTTCAAAGTCACAATCTACAATCCTTATGTGTTGTTCACATAAGGCAAATAAGATCATGTTTGAGGTCCAAAATCAGGAGGTAGCTTCTGCAGCTCCCATAATTAGGCAACCCCAAAGTAAATAATAATTAATACAGCTGTATTTATTAAAGGTATCTGATAATACAAAGACATTTTATGGCTTGACTTAAAATACTAGTAAGACCACATCCAGTTTAACTATTCATAAGCTTAATGCTTGCACCACAGTGCCTTAGAGGCCTGTAAGAATTAACGTTTTTATGTTTATAAAGCAGCTTTGAGAAACAACTTAATGTTTGTGAAAAGTACCCTAAAAATCTGAGAAGCAAATAAAACTTCCCAAGAAGAGTGCCAATTTACCAAAAAGAATGTCAACTGTGAAGATTTTTTTGCACACTCCTCTGCTAGAAATGGTATTAGCTCAACAGCTTTCCTCACAGAAGTCACAGGTTTACTAAAATATACAAACACTTATTAACAACCCAAATAGAAAAATACCTTTGTTTCTGTTCTATACTCAGTAGAAATTTAGCATCTTTTGCAAAAACAGAAGCAGCCTGCTGTACTCCTTTTCTTGTGGCACAAAACTATAAACAAGAAAGGGGTTTTTTTGAATCAACACTTTTAAGAAAGAAAGAATTTCAAATGCAATAAAAAAAGCTGCTCTACCACAAGTGCTGGTTTTTGTTCTGAGTATGATTGTATAATACTAGCTATCTTGTAGTTAAGAGTTAAGTCAAATTTGAATTCTGTCTGATTGTCACTGCAAGGAAAACCAAGAACAATTTTGCGTAGCTTCACTGGTCGTTGATCCTCATCTATTTTCAGACATACAGCAGGCATCTTGCTGTCTGAAAGCCATTCTGCAATCTTTAAAAAAAGAAGACACAGAACAGAAATTGTAAATTTCTTCTTTTAATCATGCTCCTGCTCTAACAGCATCACAGAATAATTAACTTAGCTTTTTTGTCACATATAAACTGTTAACACATTTGACATTGCTTTTATCGCTAAAATCAGGTGAGGTTCTGCTTTCTATGGAACCAATATAACTTGGACTGAGATCTTGAGTCTGTTGTGATTTGTACTTAAGAAGCAAAAATCACAAACAGAAATCTAAAACTGAAGCATGTCCATACTTGGCTGATAGCTCCATATGGCTGAAGGTAATTTGTTACATAGCATCAACCTCACAGCTGTCTTTGGCTGACAGCTTCAAAATTACAAATTTTGTTATCAATCTGAAATTGCAATTCCAGATAAATTTTATAAAATACAACTCCATTGATCAAAATACAAAGGTAACTCTTACATCTTCAGTGTTTGGTATTGTTGCAGAAACAGCTACAAATCTCAAGGGAGGAATAGTGTCATGCTTCTCTAACAGATGCCAAAGAGAAGACTGAATAGTCTTCATCCGACTGACCACAACTTCTAACGTTGCACCGCGGCTTTCATCTTTTATAACGTGAACCTAGCAGGAATTTCAAAAGACTTGCTAAGTATTTCTCCAGTACCAATCTACACGTGTGCTAATAAATCTAGTATTTCCTAAGTTTCCTTCTATCTTCACATAAGATACAAAAACAGTGCATAAAACCCCATCCTTTTTCTTACCTCATCAATGAGAAACAGTCGTACAAGCTGGACTATAGAATTGTCTCTCCATCTTCTAGTCATGCTATCCCATTTTTCCTTGGAGAAAAAAAATCAACAAAACAAAACAACAACAGAAGGTGAAAGATGTTTTAAAGGCCAACATAGGCTGCAGCAACAGTCCAGGCAGACATGCCTAAAGTTTAACAAATCTTTAAACAGAATCAGTTAAATTAAAGCTGATGCCATGTATGTTTCATCTGGCACATGACTGTACTACTAACTCTTGTTTATACGAACTAACAGTATGCACAGCGGTGTGCAGGCAAGCATAAGGACTGCAAAATTACTACGTATACAAAAAAGGAGCTGTCCTAGCAGCATACAATTAGAAGGGTGCTAATGTCTGCTTTTTGTGAGTTCTTGTAAGAAGTGGGATTGAAACCTACCGGTGTAGTAATAATAATATCAGCATGATGTATTTCAAATAAATCATCCATCAGTGTATCTCCTGTCAGCTCCTTGCAGGTGAGTCCAATAGGTCCAAATTTTTCTTTCCAATCCTCAAAACGCTGACTGCATAAAGCTTTTATTGGAGCCACTAAAAATAACACAAAATGATGAAAATTACATCAGGAAAAACAAATCTTCAATTGTATTGCTAAAGAAGCCAAAAGCATACTTTTCTAGGATGCCTTCTTGAATTTATTTTCCCTAATTTTCAGCTTCACTTCCAGAACCATAAAATTTGTAACTGGTGTTATTGTCCTTATTATCCTACTCCATGTAGGCAAATCAATGTTGAGCTTTGGGCCCCAGTCCTTCTCATCAGCAAACAGAAACCTTTAATTAAGATTATTTATGCTGTCTCTTAATCCTTATTTTTTTTTTGCAGTAACACATGGAAACCATCATTCAGCTATCAAAGGTTTCCTCACAGACACAAGAAACCACAGGAGATACATCTTTTCTAATGGAAGATCATACAAATACCAACCTTTTCCGATTATGAATTATTTGAGCACTCTGTATCTGTATTCAGAGAGCAAAGGGGTCATAAATGAGAAACCATCCAAAAGTAGGAGATAGAATACCAGAAGAAATCAAAGTCTATTTAAATCAAATGTACAGTTAAGTGTAGTCAGGGTCATACCAAGTAGCTAACACAGCAGATAGCAGCTAATGCAGCAGGCAGCAGTTCTCATGCTGGTCCTCATGAACAGACTCCTAAAACATTCTATTTCTTCATACTTTTTTTTTCTGAGGATACATACTGTACTTTTGCAGATTCTTTTTTTTTTCTAGAAATCAGGTGTAATTCCCAACAAGGCCTGATATTAGCAACACATGTAAGTCTATACTGGATGAGTAATCTATATGGAAAATGCAGTGATTTAAGTTAAAGAAGTGATCTGTGCATGATCTGAAAACAGCCATAGTAAAAGAGATCTTGCAGTGATTACATTCTAGGGTAGCTAGAGCCCCTGGAATATGAATGACTTATCCATATTAGCTCACAAGTGATCCCTAAGATGAAGAGATTGAAAGAACCAGTTGCTGCTTCAGAAAGAGGTATAAAATCTCATAAGAGTATCAGTGGCTTATAAAGCAGGAGCAATAATTAGCTCCGGAAATCTGACTGAGCTACCAGCAAGTAACTCACAAAATTGCAAAGCTAATCATCTTTTGCAATGCAAGAATGCGAGAAGCTAGTGGCTGCTTCTGGAACTTTGGTCACCAATCCTTCCCATGTTAAAGCTACTGTGAAACAACTCTACCTGACAGTACTACTGCAAGCCAATTCACATACATGGGGCCCCTGAGGAACCAGGCACCAGTGCTCACTCCAGTAGTACATAATCTCATTGCCACCTCCGTTCCAACAGTCAGAAAACGGACACATCTCCTTCTCCATCATTGTCGAACCTGGAAAGGTCAGCAGGTCTAATTCCACTAGCAGGTAACTGCTTTCTTCCCAAAAGTTCCACCAGCCAACATATATCAATTCTACCAAGGCAATTAGAACCTATCACCCTACACCGATAGGCTCAACCTCCACCTGCTGACAGAGAAGCTGGAACATGCCTGTTTATAAAGATCAGTTTACAATACACAGTAAACTCTAAAGCTAGCGTTGCTTTAATGTGAGAAGTTGAACACAATGCAATTAGAGAAAAAAAAGGATGAAACTTTTGTAAATGAAAAGATGAAACCTTTAATAGCAAGACTGACAAACATATCACTGTATGAATTAATTAAAACTGGGATAAACCCACCAATTAAAACCAATTTACATGATACAAACTCAGTTCTCCAGGAAGGAAAGAAAAAAGGTTTAATTGTTGCGCCTATCTCCCAGAATTTTCATCAGTTCGTATACAGATTAATTAAAGTCATGAAGACCACAGTTCTGTAGCCTCTGAGCTACTATACAAAAACTAGCAGTTAGCAGGAAACCTCATCTGGTAAGCAAATACTGGAAAATTTGATCCTCATTTCAGAGCAACAGACAGGCACACAAAAGATACTGGCAGAGCCAGAAATCATGCACTAAGAATTTGGTTTAGTTTCCTTTACTTCCTTCTTCCCTTCTTGTGTATATCTTGCCCTCTTGGAGGACAAACTGCTTACAAGATTTTCTAATTTTTATTTGTATAGGCAATGCTGAACACTACAATTACACAATGCTGTTAAATACTAATAATAGTTTCAATGGTATCACAAATAAACACTAAAAGGAAACAACTTTTTAAAGAATCAGGTAGGTCACAAATTCTTAACATATTTAATTTCAATATTTTTAATGCATTCACTCCAGATCTCTACATTGACAGAATGACAGTTTCTACTGCTGTCACCAAAATGTTTAAAGCTGCATAAAACTTACTGTAAACAACTTTAATATTTAACCAAGGCAGTGGGGCTTCCATGAGTAATCTGGTAATAGCTAGCTCGAACATTACAGTTTTTCCAGAGCCAGTCGGAGCACAAATCACAAAGTTCTTATCTGTATATAAAAGCTGGGAAAGAATTGCAAAGTAGTAAATATAACACAGCTATCCACAGTATCTATTCATACATCCCAAAAGCACTGTCTAGGGGAAAATGACACAAGGAAATTATTATTACGTTGATATATGTAGCCTTCTAAAAATTTTTGTGTTCCATGAGAAGTTACAGCAAAAGAAACATCATTTGCTACACATCTGCCACAGAAATTTAAATGAGATACTGTTCACCTAAGCTTTTATTTAATAAAGTCTGCCACTGTGACAAACAAACCCCCCACTATGTAGCGTTAGATGGCATTAATACAGAATCACTGCCAATGTCCACTTGCAATCAAACGTGGGCTCATCAGAAAGAAGTATTTTGTGCTCAAATTCAAAATACAATTTGTTTGCCTTCTGCAATTTGATCTGCATTCAGAATGTCAACATTGGAATATATATAATTTAAACAGAATGTTTAGTTTTCAATAATCGCAAATCAAAATTTTGCATGGCTGTGTTTCCTTCTCACACATTCTATCCTCTACCATCTTAGAAGCCAGGTATGTCCACGTCAGGTTCCTTCATTTTCCTCTGATAAGGTCGATTCTACCTTCCTTCCTTCTCCACAGCGTCACTAGCTCATTCAGCCACCCTTCCTCCCTGTAGCATTCTCTGTGCAGCCTTCCTGGCTTCCTTCCTTCCCTCCCAACTCATGCATTCTACTATTCTCACTCTTTTTTCCTTTCCTTCTAGCTGTTAATGCTCTAAAAGTATTCTGTGATTGCTAGGAGCTCACATGGACAAACAGGAATCACCCAGCAATCAATTTATATATACCTGTAGCAATGACTGACACTGACAGTACTGCTGAACAGTTGCAGGAATTACCTGTGTTCATTTACCATTGTCAGTTCTCCAATGTTCAAAAAAAAAAAAAAATCAATGAAGTATGAATGCTATATGAATACAAAATTTACCCTGATTTTTATTAAGTAATCCTTTGTAACATTCACTGTGAATCAATCAGAGAAATTCTACCAAGTTGAGTGCTTGCAACTTCTTGGAACCAGAGCTGCTACCAAGTTGAATTTTTCAACCTTAACCAATTTAAAAAAATATGCACACTCATTATCTTTTTAAAATGCCAACAACTTCTTGACTTTTTTTAACAATGCCATGTCATACACACGACTGCTAAACAAACTTCGTCCTTACTGGCACTTATAAAAAATTTTTTATATTTAGGAGTACTAATACATGAGCTGTACCAAAAAAAACCAAAAAAACTATTGTCCCAATAACTTTTTTGCAACTTTGATGAAAGTAAATCTTGCTTAGAGCTGTGGCTTCCCTTTATTCTAAGAACAAAGAGTCACAGAAAATTATTTTACAGGCCAATTCTAATTCTCATCAGAAAATAAACACAAATTTGGAACTAAGGAAAAATATTCTAAATCTATGCATAATACTAAAAATTTAAGGCAAAATGGGGAAAATACAGTTCTCCATATCATTTAAATACAAGATCATTCTGCTCACATAAGCATCATTCTTAAAATCCCTCTTTTTATAAAACACTACCTGGTGAATACAAAATTCAAACAAAAACATTTGCAACAGCAAAAGTAGCTTAGAAACATGCTTAGAAACATTTGTGAATGACACTGGGATTTTCCTACAGTTGAATAAAAATTCCAAATGCTCTGTTGAAGACTGATGGAACTCTGATATGTTCTCTTTGCAACAGTTATAATAAAAGCTTTCTCAGCTTTCTCAGTTTTACTTTCAAATAAGTTTTAGGTTTCAAAGAAAGAGCATAACTGATAAGAGGGGCATGGACAAACGGCCCTTCTCCAAAAGGACAACCTTCTCTCAAGTTCTGCTTTTCTTAATCTTCCTGTGAAAATCATTAACAAAATATTACTAATCTGTATAAATAAATATAATCCACATCTTCACACAAATGTATTTTATGCTGAGAAAAAAATTTTTAAAAGTTTTTCTCATCTCTTCTCCCAGCTAAGCACAGCCCTGATCAACCATTCCAGGAAGAGGTTCTAGATATATTACAGTTTTCCAATCCCTTTTATGTTCTGAATATCAAATTATCACTTATATTTATCTACAAAGTACTACTTGCAGACACAGTTACTGTTCTATACTTACATCATCCAAAGCTTTAGACTGTGCATAGTTAAAATATGGGAACTCCTTAAAAATACTTCTAAATTGGGTTGCTTGACGGCATTAAGGAATTTAAAACATTTGAGTGAAAATTATAAAATTTATTTTAGAACTGTAAATACATCTCTTTCTTGTAATTTAAATGAAAACTTAAAACATATACAGCAATATTTCATAGGCTTGTAAAAAGTTATCTAAAAGTAACCTATTAAATGATTCAGTAGTCTTCTTTTAGATTCTTGGTGTGACATATATTCCACTTCAGTTTAAAAAACATGACCTATTTGAGAGGCCTCAGGATTATACCAATACTCAAGAACTTCCTCCCTGGCACAGGCTTCGTGGAACAGCATACTATTATGGAATGTGAAACTGCAAGGGACAAACCAGATACAAGAGCAAGCAGAACACTGCTCTTAGCCTATTTAAGGTGCCAATGGCCACATGATATTTATAATATAACACTAATTAGCATAATATTCTACCATAATGTTCAGTCATAACAGTAGCAAAGAAATTCGTGTATGATCACTTAGTACTGTGGTTTTAAAGATACTTTTCAGTCGCTAATAACGTGTGTTCTTCAGACAACAACATTCTTATCTAAAACATGCATAAGATGAAAAGAGAGTATTGTTAGGTTACAAATCCACATGAGTGAGTTGATCCTTGTCTGGACTTGCACACCAACTGTGACCATCTCGTCAGGCTGAGGATGCACACACAGCCAGACATGACACCAACAGTAACAAGAACTGTGAACTGCTGAGCCTCAGGTTGATGTTACATTAAATAACTAAAGAAAGAGGAAAAGCTAAAGCAGTAAAGCAAGAAATAAAAGCAGTTAAACGTTAAAAGGAGTAAAGTTAAGCAAGTAACATCAGACTAGAGAAAATGGGGATTTAAAAAAAAAAATTATCTAAATTTTCTCTTTAAATAAGGGAACTATTTTCAAAATGTAGAGCACTAATGATCTGTGATTGGCCAATTCAGAACAACTGAGTCCTTACCCATTTTCAAAATTAGGACACTTTTTAAAGCTACTAACATGAATTTAAGATGCCTAAATTTAGACACTTCCTAATCCTGATATTTAACCTACCACTTCACAGGTTACTAGAAACAAAATATTGAAAAGAAAGCGTAAAAAAAAAAAAAGTTTGACAGATACAGATGAATGGTCAATCATGTTATGTGTTCAAGACAGGGCCAAGAAGGAGGAAAATTATGGTGAAATCTGCATAAAGAACGGAAATATACCATAGGCACACTACAACATAAGTACAGACCAACAAAGAATACATGAAGTTAATTTTCTCCTGAGAAAACGGGATAGAAAGTAAGATTCAGTTTTCCTAATATTTATTTCCTAAATAATAATTCACTTTTCCTTTATTTAAAGTGTATGGGGATATCTGTGTATATGCATGTTTGCATATAAAATCTTGCATGAAATATATATTATGCAAATTAAAATTTTACATTTTAAAAATAAAGTTTTGAGGATTAAATTTTAATAAGTTTTCTTAGGAATGAATGATCTGTAAGTTGCCTTATTTTCATTCTATATTTTTAAGTCCAAAGGATAAGCACCTATTTACCATTTGATTCCCAGCCTCATGTTACAAATCGAAACTATTACAATGTAATACACGAATACCCAATGGCTACAAATTAAACACTACAGTTTTGTAAATGTAAAGCATTGTAATAAAATCAGTAAATCAGAAGAGCAAATACAAGGATACGTATTTCTGTAACAGCCCTCAAAATTTCCAATTTTCTTTCTGTAGTTCCTAAAGAAATAGAAATAGTAAATTTATAAAATCAGATCTTTTTTCAACCAATAACCATGAAAAATATTTTCCTGACCTCAAGCTATGTGTTCTGCGAGGAGTTCCAAGGTTACAACAAGGTCTAGGTGATACAGAAGGAGCTGACAGGATAGGACAGGGAGATCCTTTCAAATGAAAGGACCATCACACTGGAGTGTGCTGAACTCACTCCAGTTTAAGGATGTCTTGCATGTACCAGAGGCCCAAGACTTCACGCAGCATGTAGTGTAGCATGTAGAAGGAGATAATTACTTCCCCTTAACCTTCTGGCTTTGTTCCCACTAACGAAGCCCAGGATGCTGCTGGCCTTTGTTAGTGCTGGGGCACACTGATCGTTCATGTTCAGCAAGTTGTTCACCAGACCCCAGGCACTTTTCCACAGAGCTGCCTCCAGTCAAACCATCCCAGAGGAACCTTAGGGGTTCTTCTCTTTCCCTGCAGCAGGACTGTGCATTTGTTCCTGCTGGTTTTCATGAGATCACTGGCAGCCCCCTCCTCCAGGAGAGACCCCTGCAGTACTGCACTGGTAGCAGGCACATGGGCAGAGTGTGACCCAGTAACCACCATCCTCTGAGCCTGACCAAACATTTTCAGACCCACGCAGTGGTCAATTCACTGCTACTGCCCTAACTTGGACACAAGAATGTTGCGGAAGATGGTGTTTCTCAAACACTCTATGATTCTATGAACACCCCTGCTGAAGGCAAAGTAAATGACATCCATTGCTCTCCCCTCATCCACAAAGTTAAGTAAAATTGCTCAATAAGGCAATCAAACAGGAATCATACTTTCCATTCCTGGCCTGTCTCCAAATCCCATCCTAAGCCACAGCTCTGCCCTGCGTTTTTCTGCTATAAGTAATTTTCTATTCCATATTTCTGAAGCAGTTAGCCAGGTACACAAGGTACATTCCACAGACACAGTGAGTCCCTGTCCCAAAAAGTTTAAGATCTAGAAATAAACCACACTTAGCTAAAAACTATTAAAAACCAAAAATTATTTCTAAAACAATAATTTATCATTTCATCAGAATTCTAAGCACTTCCCCTAATTTTCTAGATATCTCCTATTTAACATCTATTTCTACAAAGATACAAGTACGAGCTACATCACAAACAAACATTTAATTTTCAATATCTGGTTTCAAATGAAGATGAGACTCTTTACCACATGAAAGGATGAGGCTGCTCTTTTCCAAATTGCTTAGAGGACTGATGTGAAGTGACATTTTCAAATATGTTTACATGACTTGGCACTTCTGAAACTGTGAATCTTCTTCATAAATTGTTGAGCCAGCTCACATTAACAATGCAATTAAGTTCCACAGAACTGCAATACATTCTACCAATTTCAGCCAATTATCTCACCTTGAGCTGGTGAGAAAATGTTCTTCACTCTACCTCCGATCTTAGATATCCATTATTGTTATATACCAAAGACAGACTATGGACAATTTTTCTTAAAATAGAGTAAAAATAATTACCTGTCATATCCAGAATCTCTGAAGCATTAGAAAATGATTGAAATTTAATTCCATTTTCAGACACAGTGTCCTCATTATTTACCCTATGCAAAGTAAAATCTGAGTCTTTAGTTATTGGAGCATGATGATTATTTTTCCATAAACTTTCTTTTCTCACTTCTTTCACGTTTTCATTTGTATTTAAGCAAGCATCAATTTCTTTCACATCAACAGAACCAGCTTTAAATTCTGCATTTTTGTATGTATAACCAGACTTTTTAAATAAGCTGCAAAAGATCCAGAATTTTCATTAGTTTGTTGTAATGTTACACAGTTAGTCTAATACTTGGAAAATATGTATGTTCGTATTAGAAGCAGAACTAGTAAGATACACTAATAATAAAATTGTATCTAACTTTATTTGATCTGACATAAAAACCTCTTTCAAGACATATTTTAACTTTATTTTCATTCCAGAAAGAACTTGAAAGAATTAACTGCCTGTCCAGCTAGGCTCTGACTCCCAACAGCAGATTAACTTTGAATTTCTGCATATTAAAACCAATAGAGACATACAGGTTCTGAGGAAACCTCTCCTCCCAAGCAGCACTGAAATCACCTTGAGAACTGCTCGAGGAATTTATTGCTGACTGTCTGACCACTGTTCTGAAAAACAAGTGATTGTTGCCTTCTTGCTTGTTACCATGCAGATAAAGAACTCAGAGTAGTATTTTGCAAAATCTTTGTTATCTAACAATTTCTTTAAAACTTAAGCAACAAATCTCATGCTTACTTTTCTCATGAAAGAGGTTGAGCTCAGGTCACATTTAATTAAAGTACTAAAATATTGGCAAAAAGAAACATCTTTTTTCCTTATACTGAAGAAAATTAGTGCCTGGAGCCCTGGAAAAGAGTACCTTCAACTGAAGGATTCAAAACTTTGTGTTAAACAGATTAATCTAAAATAATAATACCATTCTGACAGTGATAAGTTATCAGAGTTGACTAGACATGTACCTTTTTCTTAACACTGAATGGACACTCTCATCATCATCATCACTGTTTTCCGGAAAATTACTTAACACTTTATTTTGTGAAAAATTTGCACCAGGTTGCTGAGAAAACTCTATTCCTCTTTTAGATTTATCTTCATCAGAAGAGAGAAATGATGAAACTATTTTCAGACTTTCATGTTGAAAACTAATTTTCTCTCTTTCTCCTAGACTTAATTGTAGCACTTCTTTTTCAGAGGCTATGCCAAAAGGAACAGGTGCTGATGATTTGTCTTCTACTTTTTCAGTGTTACTGTTACATTGTTGTATAAACATCTGGTGCTTTCTCCCTCCTACAAAAACAATAAATTCATATTTCTGTTAATATTCATATTCTTATTCATAATCATTTAATCAAATATTTTCCAAACAGTATCAGCCAAATTTACATATGTTATATGAACTGATATTTCTATCTTATTGCAAGAACTTTAGTGCATATTTTGACTTATGCTAATGAATGTAATGTATTTGTTGTCAATTAAAAAGTTATAAAAATAGGGTGACTTTCTTTGCTTCCTATACAAAGTAAAGGAGCAAAACTGTTCCTCAGAACTACAAAGTAGTTTGTAGGACAGAACTCTTCACCCTGTCCCAGAATAAAGATGGTCTTTAAAAATGACACAATGACCAAGCTTGAAGTTCCTGGTATAAACAGCTGTGAGATAAACGCTGCAGTCTCAACAGTCAGAACTGGTACCAATGCTGGTGACAGGCTGCTCTCACAGCCCTCTTGGTTAATTATCACATTTTGCAAGGTTAGTTCTCAGTAGGATCGGTGTCCTGATCTGGCAGACCAGATCAACAAGCATTGCTGTTGGCAAAAGGAAGGCAAAGGCAGGAGCAGAAATAAGCAACTAAACCTGACAAGATAACAAAACAGTTCTATTCTGCAGTCTATTAATTTCAATGTTATCCATTTGGAAATTTCAAATTATCATGTCCTGTTTGTGATACAACCACAACAGTTCTAATTCTACAAACACCAGAAGGCTTATTTGAGTAAGTAGCTCTTAATGGAATTGCTTGTGCCTAAAGTAGAAAATAAAACAAACCACCTTCTGTTTTAAAATAATTCTTAAATAGAGAATATCATAATCAGCACAGCAGCTAAGAAATGCAGAAATCTGGTTGACAGAGAGAAAGCAACAAAATTCTTTAAAATAAATTTCCTTAAGGTGATTCCGAGTGTCTAGATGGGAGGAATATGCCACTTCACAGCAATTAACAACCAGATTCAAATTTCGCCTCCTGAACAGCAATTTGATAAAAGCCCCAAAAGGGAAGAAAAAAGTTAGTTTCATATAAACTCTGTACCTCAGGTGAGAGACAGGTCATCAGATCCATGTGTTAACATTGTGCTCTTACAGCCCTTCCCACTGTGTTACAGTGCTTTGTGAAACAATGTGGAGTAACTGAAATTTTGATTATACTTCTGGCCTTGCCCACTTCTGCACAGTAAACCTGTGGCCTGTATATGCCTAAAGAGGACTGTTAACGCTCCAAATACATCTAACACCATCATTCTCCACTAAAATACATTCTATGTCTATACTTGCATACCTAGAATAGTTCATATTTCACAGCAAAAGAGGAGGAAATATCTGTCACATATTATTTGTTAAGTAATTTCAAATGAATGTAAAATATTATGGTTTAGTCGGACTTTGCAGTGTTATGTTTATGGGTGGACTTGATCACTTTAAACGTATTTTCCAACCTTTCCAATGATTCCATGATTATGTTCTATGATATTTTACCCATATGAGTGTTGGCTGACTTTTTTTCCAGTTCCCTCTGTAACTCCTCTGCAGATGGAATTTCAGCAGTAGCTGGAGCAGGTGCAATAAACCAAGTCTTAGGCTCTTCATTTTCTAGATACCTATTTTTAACACACAAATGTAAGGTAAAAGCATTCTGTAAGCACCCTCCACAACATCTAGCTCAAAATCACTAATTATAAATAACCTACTGTTTCTCTTGCTACAAAATATTCTTATTCTTCAATTCATTTGATTTTTAGTCACATAAAATTAAAGAGGCAAAATTTCTGCTAGCCTCTATTTGTTGTAGCCCTAAGATACACCTGCATCATACAATGTGCTTGGAGACATTTCAAAGTATGGGTCATGAATCTGGAAATTTCTAGTCCCACGTTTCTATCAGTCGACAAAAAAGTGAGTCACAAGAATACTACTGTAAAATGATTCAGAGTGTGGAAAATCTTGCTGAACAGTTATATATGTCTAACAATAAAGCTTTACCTTTGTCTCATATCTGGTCTTTCATAAAATAAATTTTCCAGTGGAAAGACCATGTCTGCAGAGTTGAACATTTTTAGATCAAATGTGAAGTCTCTTAATTTGCAAAGGGCAGCACAAGCAACTGTAAAACTGGAATTACAAGAACTGAACCTGTAGAAAGCAATAGGAAGTTTATTAGTTCTAAGTGCCAATATTTTCTAAATTGTTTTCTTTTAGAGCTTTTGCCTGCGTCCTTAATTCTTCTTCAAACAGAGAATCTCTGTCCTGATAAAATATGGTTCCTATTACTTATGACTAAAAAATTCCATAGGGCAGCACTTTAAACAACCTTTACACTACTACGATGTGTCTGTAGAAGAAAAGTGGGTAGGAGTGAAGATCAAGATAAAGTTTATATTAAAGTATTTAATTTCTAGGCAAAATGCTAATATTCTTTTATACAACTGCAGACTATATACTTTTTTCTCAAATTGTTTCTGTTCTGAAGGAAAAATACATTTTATGATTACAGTCTGTCAACCTTTTGCAAAATAAAACTATACTGTTACCTAAAAAAGTCAACAATTATTTTAATTTACAAGAAAACAAGATTTTTTTAAACCTACATGCAAACTGCTTACCTGGATAACTGGAGTACAGACCCAACTCCTTAATGTTGTTAACAGGTTTGTTCTGAAACATCAGAAACAGAGATTATTTCTAAACTATTTATAATATACACCAGTCTTAAAAATACTCCACCTAATTTAAATGTTTTTCATTTAGCACCAACTGTAGACATTAGACATATTTTCTTTATGCATTCATGTTGAGAAGTTTCACAGCTCTTAATTCTGATTGAGGACAAGTTTAAAAAGCAAAGATCTTACTAAAAGAATACTAGAGAGATGATTTTTTGACTCAAAAATCTCATCACTAAAATAAATGGTAAAATACTAAATCAAGCTTATAAAGTCCAATAAAGGCCAATTCTGGAGATAAGGTAACAAAGCAAAGCTACCTACTTTACCTAGAGAGATATACAAAGGCAACACTTCTTTTACTCCAGCATCTCATCAGTAACACATGAAAAGAATCTTTAAGAGTGCTTTGCAATTAGGACTCAGGTTTACTTTATTACTGTGTACCATCAGCTGTGAATCAAAAATTTAAAGTATATTTTTCTTTTACAGAATCTGTAAAATTTCAAATATTCCAAAGAGATGCTTCAAACTTAAAACAGAAAACATTTCACAATACCAGGAGAATATAGAGTATGTAATTGAAACTGTCTGTGAACACAGTGAAGAACTTCAAACAAGAAATCTGTCAATGCCCCTTCTACACAGAGTGAGTTTGCAATACCACTTCTGCCAATTTCTGCAACTCCCACTCTGCCAGGTTTTGCCACTTTCCCCTTCCCATTATTAAATCTAGAATTTAGAAATCACACTGATAAATCTAACAAAGTTGGTTAATTTTGCCACCATGCTTTTGCGTGCTTTTAATGCCAGTAATCTAAAGCAGGAGTTCTCAGGCTTGGTAGCAGTAGGGGGAGCAGAAAGCATCTATCAGGAACACTATCAAGGTGTTGTTATTGAAGTAGTAATAATCCATGCTGGTGCTTATCCAACTGAATAACCACTGCTCCATCAGCAGAGCTGCGAACACTGCATACCAGTATGAAATGGCTTCCCTATCTCAGGCAGGGAATCGCCAATCTATGATTATGCAACTTCCACTTAAGTAGTTCAGATTTATGATTCCCATCCTTGAACAGTCTTTGTTATATACAGTATCTGATCTCTCAGAGCTTTATGGCCCCTGCTCTCTATGTCATTTATTCTTTGATCAGCTCCATTTATTCCAATTGCTTGATAATATAAATAAAAATAAGATTCTATGAGAGTCATTCTATGAGACTATGGAAATCTGAGAGAGATGCACTCCTTTGTGCAGCTCTGCATTCATCCAGCTGCTCACAGGATGTAAGCTGGGACATCCCTCTCAAAATCTCCAGACAAGCAATAATGAAAAGTCTCTCGGACTTTTAAAAGAAGAAAGAACAAAACAAAAAAGGCCGGGGTGTGGTGGTGATGGTGGGGAGGAGCCCAAAATGTCCCCACAATGGACAGAAATAAAAGGATCCTTTCCATATGCTCAATACTGTTTGACCGCACAGGTAAAAGGCATATTCCAGGCGGCAGAATGAGGGAGTAGGTGTTTGCATGAGCAGCACGGACCACTGATTCACATTTACAAAAAGGTGTTTGCCAAATCCTGTGAGCAAAGACCTCTCATGTATCTGCTTTAAGAAACACCTCACTACAAACACTACAGGCCACAAGGGGTTTTGCTCACTTTTGAAGCCCCTTTACTTTTCACCCTCCTCCTAAGCCAAGTCCTTTCCTCAGATCACTTCAGTGCTCTCTCCTGGGGCACAAGGTGAAGCTCGCAACCTTCCGGAGCGCTGGCCCAAACAACCCGCGATTGCGCACTCCCAGTCCTGCCCCAAAGATTCAGAGGACATCCCCAGCTCACTTGCACTCCTTCCCGGGCTCTGCGAGCCCCTCAGAGTCAGACTTCCTCTCCCTTCACTGAGGAAACAGAACCTGCGAGCGCCGCTCCCACCTCACCGACAGCGCCTCCCGCCGCCAACACCGTGTAAAATGGCGGCCGCGGTGGGGCCGCGTGGAGAAACCGCCTCAGCCGGGCCGGCGGGAAGCGGCGATGGCCGCCCGCGCCTCCCTCCGCAGTGTGCGGGGGCCGGCCGGCGTCCCCTCCAGCTCAGGGGCTGAGAGCTCCCGCCGGCGTTCCCTGTTCCCTCCCCGCTCAGGGGCCGAGGGCTCCCGCCGGCGCGAAATGGAGGGCGGCAGGCCCGCTCCCCGCCAGCTGCCTTCTCTCTGAGGGGCGGCCCGGCCGCGGCACCTGACAGACCCCGCTACTCGGAAATCCTGAAGCGATAGGAAGGGATGGAGCTAAATTCCCCATATAAATTGTCAAAGAGGAATGTGGAGAGACTCCACTGGTGCAAGATTTAGATCTTGTCCAAACCATGGGAATTACTCTCTCGTGGAAAGTCCTTACTCACTTTGACCCCGGTATAAACTAGAAAAGGCAGCTGATTCCTGACCCATATGACTCTGTTAGCAAAATGATTCCTGCAGAAAGAAAAAAATATACGGAAAATATTGATCGTTAATATACTTTATAGCGAATTTTTGCAAATTTTTTTCCTTGCTGATGAACTGGAGCAACAAAACGCCTCAAATTCTACAAATTGAAGCAATATCACATAAAGTATTTGTAAAATGCAGCAGTAAGTTGCTTTTTATTTCCCCCCACAGAAATATTGCAATTTATCATCCTGGACTTGCCATTAAAGAATAGTTTTTGAACTAGTAAATTTTAAATAAATTGCAGAACTGTCTCAGTCTAAATTTTAAGCTGGTTCAAAGCTTCATGCCATTCAACAAATACTATAGAGGCAGCTACTGTAAATATGTATTTCCTCATACATAAATAGATGAAAAGATTTTCTCAAATATTGATTTTAACATAAATAATTTTTATTTAATCAACTTTTTTTTCTTTCTTGAAAATATTGATTAATTTTTAACTTTCCATTTCAAATTCTTAGACATTGTATGTTTACATAATGTGTGTTTGCTCAAGCCATACAAGCCCAGGTCAGTTAAAAGCATGCAAGAAAGGTTATACTCATTTTTACAATTCAGTATATATGAGGTCTTTCCTTTATTAATTCTTACCTTAAAAATACTTGCATCAGAATTGTGTCATATTATAATATCCCAAAATTTACACCACATGTTTAGATGCTTTAATCCACCTCCCCAACTAATTACTGGGCAGACAGCCAAAAGTGAGAAGCACTTCATTCGTATTTCCAACATGACAGGATCTTGGCCAGCACAGAATAACAAAAGATTTTATGATAGAAAGGTTAGAGTACAATTAAGATTTCTGATAAACCCATTATCTGCAATTGAATTCTGAAGCCACCAACATTATTCAGTAATCTGAATAAAAGCGGGGAAATGTTTGTGCTTATAAGCATACAGTAAGCACTCATTTTTTGCTTGTAATAAATTCTGAAACCAGAAAGCATTTTTCCTTCTTACTATTAAAGAATGCCTTCTTCGATTCTGGCCTCAGGCAAGTTTCCATCTTAGTTCACAACATCTGCTTTTAGCTGACCAGACTTTAATGTTTAAAGCCATAATACAAACAGTTCATTTTTTAAAGCTATTTTTTCTTCAATTCCTTTCCCTAGGTGACATCTCCCTCAACACACACACAAATCACATAAAATATATAGCAAAGCAGTCTCTCAACTGCTCTGAGACAGTTTAATTTTTGATTTTCCCGAAGCCTAACATCTGATCTGCCATATGTTTTGAGTCTTTCCAGCTCATGGAGATCACATACTAAGTCATAAACTTGCATGTTCTGGAGCAATGCAACTAGAAAATCATGAACACCAGACATTGGTCAGTGATCCGTACGATAACAGAATAATACTCATACTTGCTAAATACAAAGCTGTTAGAAGATTCAGGTTTCCTCAGAACTTACAAATTGAACAAATCAGCTACAAACAAATTAAATGCATAAAAGGAGGAGGACATAAGTGATCTAACAATCAGTGGTGTCTTCTCTCAGCTTCGTTTGGCTTTATCCACAATTTCAGAGGCATAACAAAACCATTGGTCTAAAAAGCACCCTATCTCATGGCAGAAGTCACTCTGAAATGTTAAAAGGTCTAAAGTCACAGGCAACCCCTGAACTGCATGATTTTTACAGTTGCTTGAGGTGGTTTCAATTACTCATCTATTAAAGAAATTGTAGGATTCGGGAATTAAAAAAAATATTTGCAGCTGTAATCTTTTCCAGTCAAATAAAATACAAATAAAAATACAGCAAAAATTAAGTTGCCTGGATGAGGAAAAGGGAAGTTTCTTCCATTTTCATGTTGGCTAGTATTTACAAATGTGGGCCCGATGTTGCACCACCCTTGCAAAAACTTTAAACAGGTGAATAACTTAGTTTGTGGCAGCTGAAATTACTCACGTGCATAAGTGTTTGCAAGATTAGGTCTTAAGAGAGCTAAACGCGGCTCCCGCTGGGACCTGGCAATACTGCTCTGCATGTCCGCCGGAGGGGATCTCCCCGAGCTGATACAAGGCACTGCTCCCCAGGGCTGAGCCAGCAGCATGCTCTTGCTGTGCCCTCAACAGATGCTTCTCCAGGAAGTTTAGCTCTTGAACTTTGAATTTTATGTGGCTAAATTAAAATATTTTTATCGCTATTGCTTTTTTCATGGTGAGGTGGTGAAAGCGGTCTTTTCTGTACTTTTTTTACATTTGTTTCCTTTTTAAATTTCTTACCCATACAGGTTTTTTTAAATTTTTTTTTTACACTTTTAAGACATGAACTCCTCCACTGAACCCCTCAGGCAAAGACTAACCATCAATGACTATTTTCATTATGTATAGTATTAGTGTTGTGCTTCAAATTAACAAAACAAGCACATTCCACATTTACAACTCCACCCTGAACAAATCTTATCATGTACAAACATTTATTTTATGTCATGAGCTATTTAGATACACTAGCAATTTTGCACATAGACAAAGGAGATAATGTAATATTGAGTATAGATTTTACAGTTCAGATAGCTAATACTTTTCAATTCCTATATCTAAATCATAGGCTTAGCTGATAAAATGAGACATACATGCAGAAGGAAAGAAAGTGAGATTAAAGTGAGAAAATGGTGATATTTGCTCTTTTGGAGTGTATCTCCTAGGAGGCAAGTCATTGCTGCTTCCCTTAAAAATGAAACATAAAGAATGTTTCATTGATAGTATCTGTGGAGTCTGCTTATTTTGACAAATAAGCCTGAAAGTTATATCTGCAACCACTGTTTTGGAAAATTCCTGGCTATTTTCGTCTTGTCTGTTCCAACATTGTACTTTTTTAAAGGTAGGAAGGGAATGGATGCTTTTTAAGCTAGAGCTATTTTGTTGAAGTCAGATCTCAACAAAATACTCTTATTTTATTAGCTTTTTGCTCTAAATTATCATGAATCAACAGTATTTACTATTATACAATAGCTAACATCTGAATTCCAGATCCTCTGATGGTTTATGCCCTTTGACAATGTTTCCTGCCAGCAAAATTTCTTTTTCTTTGGATTAGAAACTATAATTCCATAATTGAGAACACACTGTTTATGAACTTCATTTGGTGTACAGTTTTGGGAATTTTAAAAATATTTACTCATAGTAATCTTCATGTATCACTCTGAATCATTCAATAAGTGTACATCCAAAGAGCTCATCTTCCAAATCATCGGTTCTATACATATTCCTGAGTAATACTTGCAGACCAGTTGACTTTGAGTTAGGTTTGTAAGTGAAATCCTTCTAACTTGCTGCTGCTCAGTAAACTGAAAAGAAGATACACTTATTGGAAGACAAGGTCCATAGAATAAGCCACAAATTGTAATTCTAAGGAAAAAGGATATTTCTCATCATGGAAAAGCTATTTATACAGAAACCTTAATATGACTGAGGTATTTGTCCATATTCAAGGGACAGAAGAAAATCTGTGAGTTTTGAAAATGCAGATATGATAGAGAATGAATTTTTAGAATACATTTTGTTTTACACATAGCATTTTTATTCTCCAAGAAAGTTTATAGCTGTTCAAATGTGTTTCGTTATTTTGGCAAACAATGTTTTGAAGAGTAGACAAGAGGTAAGAAAACAACTACACTATGAGCACTTACTATCTATATGTCTGATTCCTTCCCAGAGAAATTTGTTTTCTTGGCTTTGTGTCCACTTCATTTTCTGTAGAAAAAAAAAAAAGCAAATACTTTAGCTCCTGTTCTCTTTGAAATGCTCATCAAAAGATTCCTAGAAAAAGTTCATCTTCCTCACTTGTTTTCTTCCTTCCCTGGTTGGTCCTAATTACTAAACTTATACTGATGAAGGTGGAATAAAGCAACTCAGCCACATAAACAGCATTTAAAGCAGCAGTGTGATACACATACAAAGTGCATGGGGTCCAGCCAGTATGATTAATGGATTGATGTAGTGAGGATTAAGACACATATGTATTCTAGAGATAATTCTCTTAATTTAAAACTATCTTTTCTAGGATGACAGCCTACTTTTCAGTTATTTCTAATAATCTTCCATACTGTAGCTATGCTGTGCATTTTAAGTTAAACAGCAACAATATGCCAATTAAATTTCTGCAGACTATATGATCTGAACACCCTACAGATCCTTAGCTTTTTCAAAGTAGGTCCGTGTATACAGATTTTGTTTGATCTCTGGTTCATGTCAACCTGGTTTTGAAACATACCATGACTAGAAAATGTTTCTTTATGATATGTTAGTTATCAAGAATGTGATCTATACTGATAGAGAAGGAAACATGTTCATGCACTGATCTTTCTTCAAAAATGAAGTTTATTCTCCTTGCATTAAGGTAGAAAGCACACATTCCTCAAAGTTTGTTTTCTCCCGTACTTATTTATTTTAACTTTTTATGATCATAAAGAGCATTTGCCTTGAGCCTTATGATTTTAAATTTAATAATTTGATGCTTGATAATATAACATTTACTGATGCATCAGAAAAATGTTGAGTGCAAAGCTGTGTGTCTTGTAACAAAGTGTGGTCTAGTTCCAAGGAGAGTGTTAGGATATTATTGCAGTGCAGGTAATACACAACAGTAAGTACAAGTGCAGAAGTATTACATGTCCTTGCAGATGATGGAAGGGACATAAGCCAACCCTC